CCGGCGCCCCCTTCCCTCCCGCACCCGGCCACGCGTCCTGCCGAGCCCGTCCCTCCGCCCTCGATGGCACCTTCTCATTTTGTTTCCGCGGTGTCTCCACTTTTCCCATGGCCGCGTCTGATTCCAAGTCTGCGTCACTAAGGAGTTTCCCCGGCATCCTTCAGCACGAGCGGTGCAGGCCTGCCGAGCTCGTCCACCGCGTGGAGAGGAAGAGACAGCCTTGCCCGGTTGGTCCACCCAGCTTTCGTCACTTCCTGTAGCAAAGCGGTTTCTCCCGGAAGGAGAAAGCCCCAGGGAGGCGGGGCCCACGTGCTGGTTCCAAGCACCGGCTGCTCAGCGCCTGGGCGTGGTGGATTGATTGCTGGCGGCACCTAGAGTAGGAGGAACCTACTGTAGGCTAGAACTGGAAGGAGCAAAAAAGTTGACTTTGTATTTTTTTAAATATATATATTAATAATAGAAACATCAATGATGAGAGAGAATCATTGATTGGCTGCCTCCAGCACAACCCCTACTGGGGGGTCAAGCCCACAACCCGGGCATGTGCCCTTGACTGGAATCGAACCCAGGACCCTTAAGTCCGTAGGCCGACGCTCTATCCACTGAGCCAAACCAGCTTTAATATATTTTTTAAAATATATTTTTATTGATTTCAGAAAGGAAGGGAGAGGGAAAGAGAGAAATATCAATGATGAGAATCATTGATCAGCTGCCTCCTGCACGCTCCCTGCCTCCAGCTGATAAACCACAGTCTGCTTGATAAACCACAGTCTGCTTGATAAACCACAAAACTATGGGATACTGCTATGTCTGATACCACTATAGATAGTATAAGACATTTTTAATACCAACAGATGTTCAACAAGAGAGAGCCCAAACACTACTAAATGAATTGTTGTCAAGGCTTATAAAGTACATAAAATCCTTTGCAACGTACCTGCACAAGGCCAAAATTATAAGAGGAAACATGCAAAAGGCTCTTTTTGGCTCAAAGGTGGCCAAATTACTATAATCTACTCATCAGCATAAAATTTAATAGGTAGAAGATATTAGTTTAATATACATCTTATAGAAAATGCGAAGTTCTGCTTGAATACTGACTGCAGCAGACTAGTATCCTCTGATGTAGATGATACATTTTCATGAAATTACGGGAGAATTTGTTTTTAAAAGTATGTATACATACATGCACACACACAGTGAATTCAACTCTACACAACAAAAATGTTTGCAATAATTATCTCTGAGTGATGTGATTGTAAGTGGTTTTTATTTTCTCTATTTTTTCAAATTTTCAACAATGGATATATATCACTGATATAAAAAAAAAGAATATGGTTTTTAAAACTTATTAAGCACTACCCCAAAATATACGAAACAAAATGTGAGAGGAGGAGGCTCTCAGACATTCATATCTAAAGGTGAATTTGTTACTGGGGGATAAATGGTGCTGAAAGGAGACTTTGGGTGGTGAACACACCATACCATAAAAGATGATGTAATAGAATTGTACACCTAAAACCCATATAATTTTGTTAACCAATGTCACCCCAATAAAGTCAATAAAAATTAAAATAAACAAAAAAAATTTAAAATAAACAAATGTAAATTTGTTTTTTAAATGTCTAATGCCGAAGGGAATAAAACATTTTTTACTAATTCAAAAACTAAAGATCAGGGCAACTGATTCAAGTTCAAATAGCTGTGCACAGAGTACCAAACTGGAGGCTCTGAATGGCCAAAGAGTGGCACCATGACATTCTGGACTCCATGAGGAAGGGGCAGAGTAAAGGTAAGTGGCTGAATGAAGCCCAAGGCCGAGAATTTGGTGAAGAATTTGCCCTGCCTGCTCCTTCTTCCAGAAGATATGGAAAGCTATGTTTGAATCTTTTTAGGACCTGCCTCACTTTCCCTGTTACTAGGGAAGCCAGCCTTCAACAAGTGGTTGCCTTAAATACATCTCCACCCTGCCGGCATTCATCTATATACTTATCTTTCTTTTTTAATATATTTTTATTGACTTCAGAGAAGGAGATAGAAACACCAATGATGAGAGAGAATCATTGATCGGCTATCCCCTGAACTGGGAATTGAACCTGCAACCCTGGCATGTGACCTGACTGGGAATCAAACCATGAACTCCTGGTTCATAGGTCGACACTAAACACTGAGCAACACTGGCCGGGTCATACTTACCTTTTTCACTCTCTTTCCTGAAACACTTCGGTGGCCAAAACAAGTCCTATGAAGCATTCCATGCATCATCCCAAGATATGCCTCTTGTTTTGTCTCCACCACTGCTCTCCTTATAGTGAAGATCCCAACAAGAAGAGCCATCACCATATTTATTTCAAATCTTCAAATTTTTATTAAAAGAGAAGAGCCATCTCAAAAACAATATTCGGAATTGTAATAGAACTGTTCTGATCAACTTGTGGATCATCATCATTGACCACCATGATCTGCTGAAATTTCTTATGTCCAGAATACAATTATTGGCTTCTCTGAGTGGGCAAATGTCACCTATTCTTTCATATTAAATATTATTCTAGCTCTCATTCTTTTTAAAATTGTTGAAAGTATTACAGATGTCCCCTCCCCCCCCATGTCTTTCTCCACCCCATTCCTGTCCCCCACCTGCGCCCCTGCAGGCCTTCACCTCACTATTGTCTGTGTCCCTGGGTTATGCATATATACATATACATTCTTTGGTTAATCTCTTCCCGCCCCCTTCCCTCCGAGATTCATTAGTTCACCATATTTATTTATTTATTTATTTGTTTATTATTATTATTTTTTTTAGTTCACCATATTTAGACCTTGTTGTTTGATTATCTACTAGAGGCCTGGTGCTTGATATTCATGCGTGGGTGGGGTCCCTAGGCCTGGCCAGCAATCAGGGCCAATCAGATTCCCCACATCCCTGCCTCCTCCTTCCCTCGCCACCACCATGAGGTTTCCCCATCTCCCTGCCTCCTTCCCTCACTGCCCAGTTCCCCACCTTCCCCCTTCTCCTTCTCTCGCCTGGGTCCGCCACCCACCACCGGTTCCCAGTCCCAGCCCAGGGCCCAGCCCTGATTGGGCAATCAGGGCCTGCTGGCTAGGGGGAGTGATGGGGAGAGGGACCTGGGAGGTTGGCTGCCGGTGCTAAGGAGAGAGCCGGCCCTCAGCCCCCCGGGAAAGGGACCAAGTCCGCTGCCGCACACCCATGGTTCCCGTTCCTTGCCTGGGGGCCCAGCACAATCACGTGATCCGGGCCTGCCAGCTGAGGGGGGGGGGGGACCAGGAGGTTGGCCAGCAGGCCCCATCAGCAATCAGGGCCTGTGGGCTGGGGGCAGCTCCTGCATTGAGCGTCTGCCCCCTGGTGGTCAGTGCGCATCACAGCAACTGGTTGTTCCAGTCATTCTGTTGTAATGGTTGCTTAGGCTTTTTTATATATAGATAGAAGATTCTGTGTCTTTGCCTGGATGCTCATTCCCATTTCCCTGTTCCGTTTACCTGACTTAATTCATGTGCAATAAACATGTCCAAAATCTTTCTGTGGGACTAGGTTCCCTTGTGCAGAGCTCTCAAATCATTCCATTTATTCAATGCCATGGACCTAAGTTTTTTGTTTTTTGGGTGTTTTTTTAAATATATTTTTATTGATTTCAGAGAGGAAGGGAGAGGGAGAGAGCTAGATACATCAATGATGAGAGAATCATTGATTGGCTGCCTCCTACACACTCCCTACTGGGGATGGAGCTCACAACCTGGGCATGTGCCCTGACTGGGAATCAAACCGTGACCTCCTGGTTCCTAGGTCAATGCTCAATCACTGAGCCACACTAGCCAGACTGGATCTAAGTTTATGTGTCCAACTATGTCACTAGATTTTGAGCTCCTGAGAGCAGATACTCAGCACTCCTTATTCACTTTTGTACCCCCAAAATAGTGCCTGGGACATTATACATGTACAACACATTCTGAATGAAGTACTAGTTAGTACTCTTGCACTTAGAAATAGAGATCCTATATCATCTTGGGTATAAATCCAGAGCTCACAATTACTTGAATCAGAGCCAACTGAGATTTTTGCCCCCAGTCATAGTTATCTGGAGCCCTGTTCCCCATAATCAAAACTTTCTCCTTTCTCAGTCCAGCACTGAGAGTCTTTCCCTGCTCCTGGGCTTAACTGTAATCTGACTTCCTGAAAAATAATACCCCCTACAGCTTCCTCAGGTGTTGCGCATTCCCTCACATTCCATGTACCTGCCTGGCATCAGTGCCTTTCCCCTTTCCTCAGAGCCATCTGCAAACTATTATTCCTTCACTTTCATGTAAAAACACTTATCTCTTTGAAGATATGTAGCATTATATCACAGTATATTCCTCCTATAACAATTTCCACTATTCATTATATTTGGCACCTGGCTTAGTCTTCTCTCCTCCTCACTCCTGGTTTGTCTTCATTCTAGGAAACTTCGTTGCACATGAAAACCACCCACATAACATGAATTCTCAGTTCTTTGGCTACCCCAACTGAAATAACCTCCCCGGTCCCCCTACCACCACAGGCCTACTAGCACAACCTGCACCAGTCTTCCCAAACCCTAGAATTCAAACATCCCTCATTGATCTTCAGCCCCTTGGTCCTTTTACACTTTCCATTGTCAACCCATCTTCATTTCAATCCCTAGGCAGTCTAGACTCTACGGCAGTGGTTCTCAACCTTCCTAATGCCGTGACCCTTTAATACAGTTCCTCATGTTGTGGTGACCCCCAACCATAAAATTATTTTCGTTGCTACTTCATAACTATTATTTTGCTAGTTATGAATCATAATGTAAATATCTGATATGCTATGTTTTCAGTTACAAATTGAATATAATTAAAGCATAGTGATTAATCACAAAAACAATATGTAATTATATATGTGTTTTCCGATGGTCTTAGGCGACCCCTGTGAAAGGGTCATTCGACCCCAAAGGGCTCACGACCCACAGGTTGAGAACCGCTGCTCTACGGGCATTACTCCAATCACTTTTGCTGAGTCCTTAACATTTTCACCTGTTCATCCTTTCATCTCACAGAGCAAAACTAATCCTGGATCAGTCAACTGTCTCCCATCTCCACTCCTACAACAGAATGCTGAGCATTGCTACAGAAAATCATTTGACCATTCTAACTTCTGCCATTACAAATTCAGTCTCTAATCTCAACTAGACCCTCAAAACTACCTGTGACCCTCAGTTTGCCTGGTGAGTTCTCCATCTAGTTCTAGTTAATACTCCAGCATTTCTCCACTTTCCTCAAACCTTCCAGTCTAGTACTTCCCTCTTCAACTTCAGTAGATGATGATGCAAGAAAAAAATAGAAGACATGAGGCAGGTACTTCATCAATTTTACCCTAACACCTTAAAACTTACCTCCTGACAAAATGTTGCAGCTGTGCTTCTAACATCTAATACTAAAATCTTATGTGTGCTTGATCTCATCCCTCTGGGTCTTCATAGAGATTTTGCTCCATCATATATTATTTATCTCCTCCCCTCCTTTCTGGCTCCTTCCCATATTAATATTTCAATATACTAATCCTCCCTAACCCCCAGCCCCTCACCAAGACACACAATGCTCACTGTGATCTCATGTCCTTTCTTATGCATCCAACTTTAGATTATTCTCTCCTATTCACAGCCAAATTTCTGGAAGACATGTTCCTTTGTTGTCCCTACTTTATTTCCCATTTCCTGTTGAACCCATTGTTAAATGGCTTCTACTCTCAACAGTATATTTATATGGTTGTTCTTTATGTCAAATGTCTCTTTTCGCCAAGTCCAATGGCCATTTCAGGCTCATCTACTGTTTCCTTTGAAAGCCTCACACTCCTGGGCTTTCTCTGTACCCTGTCCTGCTTATCCCTTCTTAACGGGACCCCCTTTCCTCTGCTATTCAGTTCATATATTGGTGTGCCTGTGAATTCCCTCTCAATCCTCTTTTCTAGCTATGTGGTTCTGGACAATCAACAGCCTCTCAAGTGCCTCAGTTTTCATCACTCAAAATAGGTTAGTCTGGTTGGCGTGGCTCAGAGGTTGAGTGTCAACCTGTGAACTAGGAGGTCACAGTTCCATTCCCAGTCAGGGCACATGCCCAGGTTGCATGCTCGACCCCCAGTGGGAGGGTGTGCAGGAGGCAGCCAACCAATGATTCTCTCATCAGTGATGTTTGTGCTCTCTCCCCCTTCCTCTCTGAAATATTTTTTAAAAATGTTACCTATCAAAGGTTTAATTTCCAAAATATACAAGGAACTTACACACTTCAACACCAGGAAGACGAACAATCCAATTTAAAAATGGGCAAAGGACCTGAGAAGTGTCTACTTCTCCAAAGAGGACATACAGATGGCCAATAGACGTACAAAAAAAAATGCTCAAGGTCACCAATCAGCAGAGAGATGCAAATTAAAACTACAATGGTTATCACCTCACACCCACCAGAATGGCTACCATCAATAAATCAACAAAAAACAAATGTTGGCGATGATGTGGAGAAAAGGGAATCCTAATACACTGCTGGTGGAAATGTAGACTGGTACAGCCACTGTGGAAAACAATATGAAGGTTCCTCAAAAAATTAAAAGTGGAACTACCTTTTGCCTCAGTGATCCCACTTCTGAGAATATATCCTAAGAATCCTGAAACACCAATCAGAAAGACTATATGGCACCCCTATGTTCACAGCAGCATTATTTACAATAGCCAAGATTTGGAAACAGCCCAAGTGCCCATCAGATCAATGGATAAAAAAAGCTGTGGTACACAAGTGATCAAAGTTCGATTCCCGTCAGGGCACATGCCGGGGTTGTGGACAAAATCCACAGTAGGGGTTGTGCAGGAGACAGCTGACCAATGATTCTCTCTCATCATTGATGTTTCTATCTTTCTCCCTCTCCCTTCCTTTCTCTGAAATCAATTAAAAAAAAAAAAAGCTGTGGTATATTTACACAATGGCATACTATGCAGCTATAAAAAAGGATCTTTGAGATAGCATGGATAGACCTGGAAACTATTATGCTAAGCCAAATAAGCCAGTTAGAGAAAGACAAGTATCACATGATATCACTTATAAGTGGAATCTAAAGAACAAAATTAACTGATGAACAAAATAGATCCAGAGGTATGGATGCATGAGACCGGGTAACAGATCTTGGTGGAAGGGGAGGGGCAATTGGGGGGACAGTTCAGGAAGTGATTAATCAAAGAACATTTATGCACAAAAAGAAGAAAAAAACACAAAGAACATTTATGCATATATGCATAACCCATGAACACAGACAGTAGCATAGGGAAGTCCTGGGGTGAGGCAGGGGTTGTGTGGAGGGGGCAAAATGGGAGAAAATGGGAAACATCTGTAATACTGTCAACAATAAAATAAATTTTAAAAATTTATCTATCATTAAGTGTAGATCACTGTCACCTCTTTCTTGTATTACTCTAACACAGCGATTTTCAACCTTTTTAATTTCATGGCACAAATACTAGTAAACTAATTACTAAAATTCTGCAGTACAGTAAAAAATGTTTTTGCCAATCTGACAAAAGATATAATTTTGATTTACAATAATAATAATTACTATCCTTTTTGCTCCAAAGTGACTTTGTAAAAAATCAGGTGCCTATACATTTATATAAGGATTTCTTGTACCAAGAATTAACCAGCCCTGGATGGATAGTTCAGTCGGTTAGAGCATCATCCAGATATGCCAAGGTTGAGGGTTCAATCCATGATTAGGGAACATACAAGAAGCAAATAATGAATGCATAAATAAGTGGAACAACAAAAACCAATGTTTGGCCCTGACTGACGTGGCTCAGTTGGATAGAGCATTTTCCTGTACACTGAAAGGGGGTGGGTTTGATTCCCGGTCAGGGTATATATCCAGGTTGCATGTTTGATCCCTGGTCAGGGCACGAGGCAACCACTCCATGCTTCTCACATTGATGTTTCTCTTTCTCCCTTCCTCTCTCTTAAAAAAAAAAAATTAACCAATCAGACACAGCCTTACCATGTGACGTGACCAATAAGATGCAACTCTATTACTGTATATGACCTATGTATTTTTGGTTTGACAGGTCATTCACACCTGAGGGCTATTGTTATATTGGCTGGTGTTTCTTTTCTCACACTTAAAAAAATTTATTGATGAGAGAAAGAGAGATCAATTTGTTGTTCCACTCATTTATGCCTTCATTGGTTGCTTCCTGACTTGGGGATCACACCTACAACCTTGGCATATCAGGACAGTGCTCTAATCAACTGAGCTACCTGGCCAGGGCCTGTTGTCATTTTTATTTGACAATTAAGGGAAAAGAGGTCAGTATCTTTAGAGGTCTCCTGTCTGGACCTTCTGCAATCCAATCTCCTCAGGATAGCAAATAAATTTTCTAAAACACAAATCTCATCATGTTAACTTCCTTAAAATCTTTTAATGGTTCCCACCATCTTCAAGGGTATGTCTGAACTCCTTAACAACGCACAGTCTTTTATTTATTCATTTTTTAAAATATGAGCTCTGGTGTTTTTTAAAATATTTTTATTGATTTTAGATAGTAAGATAGAAACATCAATGATGAGATAGAATCATTGATCAGCTACCCCCTGCACGTCCCCCACTGGGGGTTGAGCCCGCAACCTGGGCATGTGCCCTTGATCAGAATCAAACCAGGGACCCTTCAGACTGCAGGCCAACGCTCTATCTACTGAGCCAAACCAGCTAGGGCGCACAGTCTTTTAAAATCTGGTCCCTGTTAAGTATTAACTCCTTCTCTCTCCCATTCCTGTCTTCTGCTCATCACATACAAACATGAACTAACAGTAGGTCCTCAGATTTACCATGCTATTCTTAGCCTCTGGGTTTCTGCATGCTATTCTTCCTGCACAGCCTCTCCCTTCTAAACTCCTCTTCCCACCATACACATTTATCTGGCTACCTCAACTGATACTTTGCCTTACTTTTCCTTTTGAGCATCATTTCTTCTAAAAGCCTTCCTAATTACAAGACTGGGTAGGCACACCCCAACCAGGTCCTTAGCCTTCATACCTACCTTCATCTTAGGCCTTAGGTGCTAATCTCATTCTTTAGACTGTAAGTTCCTTGAGGACAGTGACCATGCTTTGTTTAATACTATATACCTAGTGATTAGTATTATAATGGGCACATGGTAGAAACTCCAACCAATATATGTTGTATACGTTATTGAATGTGTACTCTCTGTACACTCTTTTAATTAATTACACCTAATTTAAAATACACCTTAACTAATCATGTCACCAGTTTATACAGCCCTGTAATGTAAAAGGGATTTCTCATTTTCTACTACATGTTCTATAGAAGGAATAATCTGAATACAGATACACATTTTGTAAAATTCAAGTAACCTTAAGTAAGATTAACTTGACTGCCATGTTTTAGAAAAAAAAATTTAAATTCTTAACGCATAATGAAAAGAGACAATAAAAGGTTTTATTATTCAAAGGTGTAACTGGGTAAGTTGATTTGTTTACATCCATTCTTGTGAAATATTTCTTAAAAAAATACGACCAACTTCTTTGCAAATAGCAGACACATACCTCAACTATGATGACCTAATTTTTGGTGGATAATGTACATGATTAGGCAGAAATAGGTAAGCTCACACTGGTAGATTAACTATCAAATTCTCAGTCAAAACTCCGTTTGTGGCCTCCGCTTCTTGATCGATTTCTATTTCCACTTCGTCTTCGACCATCTTGCCGACTTCCTGACCGACTCCCCTGTTGACTCTGTCTACCTGACCGGCCACCAGATCGACCCCCTGACCGGCCTGACCGGCCTGACCGGCCACTGGACCAGCCACCCCTCTGTCTGGAATTAGAAGATGTGTTTCCATCATAATACTCTTCAATTTCCGGTAACTTGGCTGGCACTGAGATTATCCAGTCTGAATCATGCCACTCTGCCTGTTGGGGGAATTTATAGGATTAATATAAAGGCAAACTAGAAACCATAAGCAAGCACATGAGTAGAGGACACTGTTTTTTCATGTCTATGATCTATTAGCTAAAGGTCTTTAAAGTCAAAGTGAATGGTACAAACTTAAAAACCAGAGGGGGAAAAACCATATTAAAAGCACTTGCCAGGCTGGTGTGGCTCAGTGGTTGAGCGACAACCTAGGAACCAAGAGGTCACCAGTTCGATTCCCAGTCAGGGCACATGCCTGGGCTGCAAGCTCGATCCCCAATAGGGGGCGTGCAGGAGGCAGCCCATCGATGATATTAATCTCTCATCGATGTTTCTTTCTCTCTATCCCTCTTCCTTCCTCTCAGTCTAAAAATCAATAAAAACATTTGGGAAAAAAATAAAATAAAAAATAAAAGTACATTCACGTCTAGTTGGTGTGGCTCAGTGGTTGAGTGTAGATTCCTGGTCAGGACACATGCCCATGTTGTGGCTCAATCCCCAGAAGGGGGCATGCAGGAGGCAGTTGATCAATGATTCTCTCTCATCACTGATGTTTCTATCTCTCCCTCTCCCTTCCTTTCTGAAATCTATAAATAAATGCATACATACATACATATATATACACACATACATACATATATATACACATTTATTTATTTATTCATTCATTCATTCATTCATTCATTTATAAAGCACATTCACTAAAGTTCCCAAGTTTTACTCTCAGGAGAAACCCTCAGGCCCATTTTGAGACTCTCAATTTATACGTTCTAAAAGAGCGCACTGGCTTCTCTGTATAAAACACACAGGCCATTAATAAGTAGTGCATGGTTTTCAGCAAGTATATTGATAGAAGCAAGGAGTAAGAAGCTGATGATGGAGATTAAAAACTTGTAAACACCATTTAGGGACTAGAAAAACGTGGCCAGTGGAAACAATTTGGTATTAGAATAAACAACTCAACATACACAAATCAGCAGCTCATAAGAGCATCAATGTCATATCCTGCAACATTAACTGTTCTTCATTGTGATCATAAATTGCCAAGGAAAGTTAGTATTAAAATACCTGTTGGTAAGAGTGAGTAGACAAACACCCACACACACCATTGGTGGCAATATATAACCAAAGCCTTAAAAATGTGCAAACCATTTGGCCAAGCAGTCATCTTTAAAAATTCATCTTAAAGAGATAAACATAGCAATGTATAAAGAGTTAGCTACAACAACATTGTTTATAACAGTATTCTATGGGAAATCATTGAAATGTCAGAAAATAGAACACTTAGAAAAGTTGGACACCCATATGGCCAAATGCCAGGGAGCCATTAAAATAAGTAACTGTATAGCTGACACAGAAATGTATTCACAGTACATTCTGAATTTTTAAAGACTTAAAAAACAGAACAATCCCCTCGTTTCAACGTACGTATATAAATATGCACAGCGATGCAATAGACAAATTCTACACTATAAGAATCTAGTGGACAATCTCTTTCTTCAACAGATAAAATACAAGGAAATTTTTTAAAAAGATAAAAGAGGGAGAACCTATAGATTAAAAGAGACTTAAGAAACATCAAATTACAATGTATGAACCTTATGGACCTTATATTAAAAAATATTTAGGAGACAATAGGGGAAATTTAAACACAAATTGGACGGTTCATGGAATTATTATTTTGGGAATTTAATTATGATATTATGATTATGTTTTTTAAAAGTATCCTTAATATTTAAGTATATGGAAATATTTGCAGTTGAGATGACAGAATACATAAAATTTGTTTCAAAATTCTAGGAGAGTGGGGAAGTGGATGGAAGTAGGCATGAGACAAAATTGGCTAGGAGTTGATAATTGCTGAAGCTAAGTGATAGGTACATGAGGATTTTTATGCAATTATAATTTTTTATATGTTTGAAATTAGTTATAAGAAATGTTTTAAATTATGATACAGTGACAACCCAGGAACCAAGAGGTCACCAGTTCGATTCCCAGTCAGGGCACATGCCTGGGTTGTAAGCTCTATCCCTAGTAGGGGGTGCGCAGGAGGCAGCCCATCGATACAGAGTGGGTATTTTATAGCAAGGAATTGTTAATTGACTTAAGGCATGATAAATATACTGTTACTATGTCCCTAATCCCTATCTTATAGAGAAACATACTCAACTATTGAACAGATAAAAATTTTTAAATACCTGTAACCTTTCTGACTCAGTTGTGGGAACATCAAAGCAAACACCCTAAAGACAAAATGAAAAAATTTTATTTAGATGCATGAGCTGATTTTTTTCCTAATATGCTAATACTTGCTGGCAATCTCTATATTCGATAAAACAAAAAGATTAGGTGTGTCCCATGATTGCTTATAGGATTAAAAAAGCTAATACATAATAATGCATGACAGAGAGTGCCTGCTTATTGTATTTTCTAAATCTGAAAAATAACTAAACACAGTATCTAATAAGAATCTACTACTACTAAGAGTCTAGAGCATTCTCTAGAAAAGCTTTTGTAGACACCATAATGCTATTCCATGTCCTTTATAAAATGACCTAATAAAGTCATTTCAAAATTTAGTACCAGCCCTGGTTAGTGTGCTCAATGGTTAGAGCATCGGCCCAAGCACCAAAGGGTCTTGGGTTCAACTCCTGGTCAAGGGCACCTACCTGGGTTGCAAGTTCGATCCCCGGCCCTGGTAGGGGCACATGTAGGAGGCAGATAATCAATGTGTCTCTCTTGCATTGATGCTTGTTCTCTCTCTCTCCCCCCTTTCCCTCCCTCCTTCCCTTCCACCCTCTCTGAAAATCAATGGAAGAAAATATCCTCAGGTAAGGATTAACAAAAATTAATTTAGTGCCAGAAAGTTTCTCTCCTAAAGAGCCCCAGTGTTTATCAGATAATGAGAATGACGTAACCCAAGATGTTTCCTCCTTGGTCTTGATTGCCAGTTAAGTTGAAAGGTAACTTAATACTCAAGTATAACAACTAGTTTAGCCTAAGGATCTAGTTATATTTTCCCTCCCCTCCACATTTTTTTAAAAAATATATTTTATTGATTTTTTACAGAGAGGAAGGGAGAGAGATAGGGAGTTAGAAACATCCATGAGAGAGAAACATCCATCAGCTGCCTCCTGCACATCTCCTACTGGGGATGTGCCCGCAACCCAGGTACATGCCCTTGACCGGAATCAAACCTGGGACCTTTCAGTCCGCAGGCCGACGCTCTATCCACTGAGCCAAACCGGTTTCGGCACACATTTTTTTCTGAATGTGTATTTGTCTCATACTTGCCACAAATCTTTTTGAATGTAAGTAATATTAAACTCTGATAATTACTTCTAGTAAACAATCAAGTTAATAAATTCTAGACTAAAATGAAGCTCTGTAGTAAAATTAGATGAATAAATATAACATATTTTCTCAAAACCATTAGGAGAAATCAGTCACTAAGATTACAGATGGTTTTAACTTTGCTATTTCATAAATGTATTAAAATATTTAATGCACTTCATTATCCACAACAACCAATATAACTGGTCAGGCTCAGTGGATAGAGCGTTGGCCTGCGGACTGAAGGGTCCCAGGTTCGATTCCGGTCAAGGGCATGTACCTTGGTTGCGGGCACATCCCCAGTAGGGAGTGTGCAGGAGGCAGCTGAATCGATGTTTCTAACTCTTTATCCCTCTCCCTTCCTCTCTGTAAAAAAATCAATAAAATATATTTTAAAAAAACAACAACCACCACCAATAGCAGGCCACTCAAAAATTAATATTGTCTATTTCCTAAATAACAGTTGTAGCTGTTGCAATCATAAGTTACCTAGTCTTAGAAAATAAACACACACCACACAATAAGTATATATGGGCAGAAACTTAAATAACTTGGATATTAGATAGTCAAAATAAGAATAACTCATAGTTTTCTAGAGTAATGGGTTATTTAAATAACTGCCCAAAAATTTACAATAAAACAAACTAATACACAGAGAAAACAATATTATTCATCCTATTAGGCCTCAATAAAAGAAAGAAGGAACAAAACCTGCTGGTCTTTATAAACATTTACAGTGGTTGATTAAACTTTTTAGTTGTCTAGAAAAGCCTACCATATTTCCTTTTAGGAGGCACATTCTGGTAATTTGGGACACAGCATTACTACTCAGTTTTCTGTTAAGTTCTTTCCAAGCACAGCTGACATCCTGTATTTCTTCTGGGCTTTCCAGAGTCATGGTCACAAACCCCTTAAGGAATAAAAGTTACATTATGTTTATGGAAAAAGCAACAGCAGCAGCAGCAGTAGCAGCAATGATGTCTTAATTCAATGAAGTTCATGACTTAAACATGCCAACTTATGAGCCAACAATATAACATGACTGCTAAAAAAATAACTTCTTTGAGGCTGTATTAATAGAAAATGAGTATTTACAGATCATTGAAAGTACCATTCTCTTATGCATTGCTGTAAAGACCAAATTTAATTCTAACCACCATGCTTTAAGAGATAATTAAACTAGAGCATCAGAGAAAAGATAGGTAATAAAGAATTAAGGAAGTCAATTCTGAAAGAGTCCAAGTTTGCTTGGAGTGGAAAAATAGGAGGCTATAAACTCTTTAAACTCTGTAGGGACTAGTACATAAGCAAAACTTACCTGTTCTGTAAAATTTCATTGTACAGGAAAAGGATCAACATGAAGAATATATATCAGTGATGGCGAACCTTTTGAGCTCGGCGTGTCAGCATTTTGAAAAACCCTAACTTAACTCTGGTGCCGTGTCACATATAGAAATTTTTTGATATTTACAACCATAGTAAAACAAAGATTTATATTTTTGATATTTATTTTATATATTTAAATGCCATTTAACAAAGAAAAATCAACCAAAAAAATGAGTTCGCGTGTAACCTCTGATATGCTTGTCATAGGTTCGCCATCACTGATATATATGGAGGCATTCATTTAACAAATATTTCAGTGCTTTCTGTGTGTGTTCCAGAGACTCTTCTAGGTGCTAGAGATTCAGCTATAAATAGCCCTTCCTCTCATGGAGGTTACATTGTAGTGTATGGGGAGGGGGATGGGGACTGATGGAATGGGATAGACAGTAAACAAATAAGAAAATATACAGCATGTCAGTAGTAATAAGCACCATAAAGAAAAGTAAAGCAGAGCAAGGGAACAGAGGGTAAACCAAGCTATTTTAGGGTGATCAAGAAAGACCTCTCTACTATGGTGATATTTGAGGAGAGACCAAAATGAAGTGAAGGAGGAAGCCATGAGGTTATTAAAAGGAAAGAACATTTGAAACAATGCAAGTAAGTACAATGGCCTTGTGTAGGAGTAGGTTTAAGTTTAAGTAACAGCAAGTAGGTCAGGGTAACTGAAACAAGCAAGGGGAGAGTGATAAGAGATGAGACCAAAGAGGGAGCAAGGGGAAGACACCCTGTAGGACATTTGTGGTAAAGGCTTTGGATTTGGTTAACCTATAAAGACATTTTAAACTACTAACATCCTGTTTCTAAGATATTCTAGACTCTTATCTAGACAACTGACCTACTCTTTTAAAAGATCAATAAAGGGCAAACAGTCCCAAATTAAAAGAGAGGCATAATAACCAAATATAACATATAAACTCTAATCGGAACCTAATTGTTATAAAAAAGATGTATATAGGGGAGGGAGAGGAAGAGAGAGGGGAAGGGAGATATAGAGTTGGACAATTAAGTCACTCTCAGTAAAATGACACTTGGCTAAACTATTAACACCTGCTAAGTGGAAAACATCAGATGACCCAGCTGTATGTACCCACTTAGGCTACACCAAGTAAGTCACATGCAGGTTACCTCCCCTGGGCCTTGTTTCCCTCTCCCACCAACTCTCTCTGTCTCTCTCTCCACCCAGACATCAGAAAGCTCTTTTTTGATGGGTCCCCTCACCCAGGGACTCCCCTCACTTACATTATAATGTAAGTGAACTACTTGCAACTAATGATTCTAGTGTGGTTTGTTTTGATATCTGATACGGACATGGCAGGGGGCCAGATCAGATGATGTCTCACACACACACCATCCACATATACAGGCAATCCTTAATTTGCATGGTACTATGTTAACTTCACAGACTATTTCTCGATTTGCATAGTTCCATGGCAATTTAAAAAATGAACAGGTTTTGGTTTGCAAGTTTCAGTTAACAAAGTGTTGTGCAAGTGAAGATTTCCTGTATTTCTTTCCAGATAGATAGATAGCTATGGTTCAATTTTAACCTTTTCTCAAGCACATACATTTCCTTACAGATTTCTACCTTATCAGAGGTAATCAAAGATCGTGGTTCAAAACTCGATGCACCGGAGATATGGGCTAATGCTGCAGCCAATGCATCCACTGCCCCTTTCTCTTCTATCAGTCTCTGAGCTGATGGTCGGAAAAAGTCAACAGCAGCATAAGAAACGGAAGCCAGGGACCTATAGTTTAAAAATAGCAAATTTTCTTGGTCAAGGCAAAGGGAAAAAATTAAAGATAAGAGAATGAATGGGAAAAGAAAGAGCAACGTTTTTGTATTTTAATATAACTAAGTATCTGCTGGTAAAACTGGTGATTAAATTTTCTGATTTTTGAACTAGGAGAGCTTAAAGATGAATAGCCTAACACAAAAGAAAAAATTATTCAGCAAGGTCAGAAAGCATACCTGATGGCATCCATGCTTTTAGATTTAACTAAATCCATTGTAGAAGGAACACCTACACGTTTAAAAGTAATTCCCTGAAAATGAAAGAATTACATTAAAGAAAAATGGAAGTCTTTACAATTAATTTCTAAATTAATATAGCTTTTTGAATTTCCATTTCTTGGACGAGATTTCCAAGCCCTAGCAGATCAAAAGATCTGCTTTTTTCAAATAAATCGCCAATTACAAAATCTAGAAAAAGAAAAGAGATTTTCTGAATTGCCCTAGTTTCAAACATGGAATTTCACTTGCAAACTTAAGCTGACTCAAAAAAAGGAAAATGATGCTGTTTACAACTATGAATCTTTTACTTATTACCCTATCTAATTTTACAAAGTATATTAAATAGTGTATAAAAACACATCATAAAAATAAAAATTGTGAAATACCACAAAAAATCCATAATTACTCAATATAATCTTAACAATTACACCAAGACAATGTCACAGTCACCGTTACAATGCTGACACTAAGAGGTACTGAAATCATAATGCACTTCTGATTTTAGTATCAAGGGAGAAATTCAAGGGAAAAATGAGAAAGTCAGATTTTTTGTCTTCACAATGAAAGGTATATTAAAACAAAGACTTGCAGCTAATATATATTTAGCTCTCCACATGCTTCACATCCAAATGCAGCTTAAACTGAGAAAAGTTATAAAGATCTATTTGTGAGAACAAATGTAAAAAGAACTCTTTTCTAAGGTACCACTCAGATAATAAGCCTGAAATAAATTAACTCTACTTACTGCTTTTTGTTCCACATATCTTAGTTGACCTCTTTCTCTTGGTTGATAAAAACATATGCAAATCCCTGTCCGGCCAGCTCTACCTGTGCGTCCGGAGCGATGAATGTAGGACTCAACATCCTAAAAATAAGAGGTAATACTTTTAAAAAATCTAGCAAGTTACACAGTCATTCCAACATCCAAATAATAATGCTAATAACAAAACTATTACTACCAATAATAATATTTCAATCCTGTCACTTTTTCCAACATCCCAAAAAAATTTTATGCAGAATTTTGGGACAAGGGGGATAAGATTTAAAACCTTATCTAAAAATAAAATAAATAAATAAAATAAAATCTTATCTACCCCATCCCAGGACTCTTTATATGGCAACTTTTTTATAATTCCCTTTATAAATCCATGCTTCACATCCAAATAATGAAGTTAGCAATCTGCAAAGACATCAGATTCTGGTCAATTTAACACCACAGTGACAAAAATGGCTAAGACAAGAACTGATAACATTTTTCATATCCAAAAGCAAAATTTTCCAAAAAAAACGTCAATTTATACAACTGTTTTTCCCCCCAAATCCAATCTCATTTCCTACCTGAGGAGGAGAACTCTGAATCACCAAGTCAACCTCAGGAATGTCCAAACCACGGGCAGCCACATTGGTTGCCACCAAAACTTTAAAACTACCTTCTCTGAAGCCTTTCAATGTAATTTCTCTTTGTGACTGTGCAATGTCCCCATGTAAACACTGGGCATTCTATGAGAAAAAAAGGGGAAAAGTAAGTGTACAATTCATACTTATAATTGATAGCACCCTACCCTAACACCATACATTCTGTGCTCTTTTTGTTGTTGTTTCTTTTTTTATATATATATGTTTTATTGATTTTTTACAGACAGGAAGGGAGAGGGATAGAGAGTTAGAATAAGCTGCTTCCTGCACACTCCCTACTGGGGATGTGCCCGCAACCAAGGTACATGCCCTTGACCGGAACTGAACCTGGGACCTTTCAGTCCACAGGCTGACGCTCTATCCACTGAGCCAAACCGGTTAGGGCTACATATATATATTTATTGATTTCAGAGAGGAAGGGAGAGGGAAAGAGAACTAGAAACATCAATGATGAGAGAGAATCATTGATTGGCTGCCTCCTGCATGCTCCCCTACTGGGGATGAAGCCAGCAGCCCAGGAATGTGCCCTTGACTGGAATCAAACCCAGGACTTCAGTCTGTAGGCCAACACTCTATCTAGACCAGTGGTCACCAACCTTTTGGACCTGGTGGACCACCAGTTGGCAACCGTTGATCTAAACCATCTAGGGCAGTGATTTTTTAGAGAGACAGAGAAACACTGATGTGAGAGTGCAACACTCATCAGCTGCCTCTTGCATGCCTCCCACCTGGGAATAAGCCCGCAACCCAGGCCTGTGCCCTTGACCAGGGATCTCCTAGTGCAGCGGTTCTCAACCTGTGGGTCGAGACCCCTTTGGGGGTCGAACAACCCTTTCACAGGGGTCACCTAAGACCATCGGAAAACACATATATAATTACATATTGTTTTTGTGATTAATCACTATGCTTTAATTATGTTCAATTTGTAACAATGAAAATACATCCTGCATATCAGATATTTACATTACGATTCACAACAGTAGCAAAATTACAGTTATGAAGTAGCAATGAAAATAATTTTATGGTTGGGGGTCACCACAACATGAGGAACTGTATTAAAGGGTCTCGGCATTAGGAAGGTTGAGAACCACTGTCCTAGTGGATAGGACAACACCTAACCAACTGAACCACACTGGCCAGGGCCTTACTTAATTTTTAAAAACTATATATATGGCCGAAACCGGTTTGGCTCAGTGGATAGAGCATCGGCCTGCGGACTGAAAGGTCCCAGGTTCGATTCCGGTCAAGGGCATGTACCTGGGTTGCGGGCACATCCCCAGTAGGAGATGTGCAGGAGGCAGCTGGTCGATGTTTCTCTCTCATCGATGTTTCTAACTCTCTATCTCTCTCCCTTCCTCTCTGTAAAAAAATCAATAAAATATATTAAAAAAAAAACTATATATATGATTTCTTCATATGTATGCAGTATCATTTATTTTAGCAATATTCTACTGATGAACATTTGGGTCGTATCCAAATCTTCACCTTCAGAAACAATGCCAAAGTGCACAACATTGTACTTATATCTCCGGATACCTCATTATATGTATATTTCAGAAGGATACATATCTAGAAACTGAATTTCTGGGTCAAAAATTATGAACATTTAACAAAAGAGGTTGTACCCATTTACTCTTCAACATTCTGAGTATTTATTTCCTCATACCCTACCTACCCTGTTTACTATGAATCATTATAATCCTTGTGAATGTAATAGGCAAAAATGACTTCACAATGTTATTTCAATTTACATTTAGGTAACTTTTACTGAAGTTGAACCTATTTATATATTTATCTACCACTTTGCTACAAATAATTTTCCTAGTATTACTGGTATAAATTTCCTAGTATTCTTAGCCACTACTGAAATTTAAAAGTTTATAACAATGCCCTGGCTGGTGTGGCTCAGTTGGTTGGTGCATCATCCCATATACCAAAAGGTGGCGGGTTCAATTCCCAGTCAGGACAAATGCCCAGGTTGTGGGTTCGATTCCTGGTCAGGTCAATGTTTCTCTTTCACATTGATGTAATTTCTCTCTCTCTCCTTCACCCCTCTCTCAGCATATCCTCGGGTGAGGATAAAAAATAGAGCCCGGCTGGCGTGGCTCAGTGGTTGAGCGTTGACCTATGAACCAGAAGGTCATGGTTTGATTTCCGGTCAGGGCACATGCCCAGATTGTGGGCTCCAGGTTGAAGGCTCCAGGTTTTGGGCTCGATCCCCAGTGTGGGGTGTGCAGGAGGCAACTGATCAATGACTCTCTCTCATCACTGATGTTTCTATCTCTCTCTCCCTCTCCCTTCCTCTCTGAAATCAATAAAAATATTTTTTTTAAAAAAAGAGAGGAAGACTTTTCACAAATAAAGACTATACTAATAAAAGAGTAATATGCTAATTAGACCCAGAGACCTTCTGGACAAAGCCATGGTGGCGGGGCTGAGGCAGAGGCAGAGGCAGTTAGGGGCGATCAGGCCAGGAGGGAAGGACAGTTGGGGGTGATCAGGCTGGCAGGGTGGGGGGGCAGTTGGGGGCGAG